TTCCCAAGGTCAGGTCTTCGTTTCTGTTTCTTCTTCCTCAAATGGGCTTCTTCTCGTTCTTTTTATGAAACAACTTTTCATTCGTTCTCGATCGATCTTACTATGTTCTTGTTTTCAATTTCAGTGCGCTCATGATGCTTTCTTCGTAGATTGTGTTTGTATTCATGAGGGTTTCCATTTCGAAGGAAAAAAAAATTCTATGAAATTTTCTTCCTTGTTTCCTGAATTGTTTGATACAGATTATATATGTTGAAATTGATTGGAATTATGGGTTATATTTAGAAAGTTTGCTTCTTTTTTGTTTACAAGATTGAATTTTTAAATTTATTTGTGAATTTACTCGGCTTTTTTTTTTATCGATTGCAGGGCAGTGGGTTTCGATCATGGGTTTTAACAAAGTCTATCAAGCCTTGATGGATATATTTCCTCAGGTATTAGTCTTCCCTATGAAAAGCAGGTTTTCATGATCTTAATTTTCAGTATGGTGTAATTAAGAGTTTTCTCTTAATTTTTTCGATTTCTTATCTGTCTGAAGCGACAATTTTTTAACCTAATTCTGAGCAGGTTGACCAAAGAATTCTCAAGGCTGTTGCCATCGAGAACTCTAGGGATGTTGATGCAGCTGCTGAGACTGTTTTGTCAGAGATTCTTCCTCATTTGTCAAAGAATTCCACAACTTCTCCTGTGCAGGTGCCGAGTCCTATTATTCAGTTGGATGAAGAAGGTAATTTTTAAAGATCTAATTTGATATCAAGACATGCATTATGGCAAATGGAAAAGTTTATTTTTAGTTGTAGTTTATATTTGAGTTTTGTTTTTATTTGTATTGAATTAATGACTTAGTTCTTTTATATTAAGAATGGGACTGTGAAAAATGCAGTTTCAAGTGACGAGGAAAGCAGTAAGTTGACAGTCCGCTGTTCAGGGAAAACTGCAAGCTCTTCTTCAGAGTCGGTGTCTGAAGAACATGAAAAATTTCCAAACATGGGGCTCAGTGGTTCTTCCTGGAATGATGATTCAGCTGAGTCACAAACATCTGTAGTTTCAGAACTCCCTGGCAAAGATAGTGGCCCTGATGAATCTTCTGTAGTGTCAATGTTGGAAGAACATGGAAATTCAGTCCAGAGTGCTGATTCAGTTGAATCACAAATATCTATAGTTGCAGATTTCCCTGGCAAAGATGTTGGAATCATTGAATCTTCTGTAGATATTGATAGTGAGGAATTGGTATTGTTGAGGAAGGGCACATTAAATTGCCCCACTTTGGGGGTAGAAGGTGACGTCACTCAGATGGTTTTGTCATCCTCTCCAGAAAATTCTCCACATTCTCCAAAAGATGATCTTCATGTAGAAGTTGGTTCTGGGAAAGGGGATGGTTCTCTAGGTCTCCAGTCCAAGCAAGATCCTGTCAATGAAATGGGTGATAGTGATGATGAGCCTGACTTGGATGTTGTTGATACTCGTACTAGCCAAATATGTAGAATTGATATGCTGCAAGAGATCATTGAAGATGCTAAAAATAACAAGGTAATAATGATTCCTTTGAAATGTTGACCTTCTAAATCCAGAACAATGATGAAGATTTAGTAAATATGGAAGATTATTGTTTTTATTCAATGGCAATTTCTCTGAAAAATTGGGAATACAATAATTTGATTATTTTTTGTCATTAAAGATAATTCTGACCTAGCAGTTGTACCTATCTTTCTTATATCTCTACTTTGGATTCAGAAAACATTGTTTCAAGTGATGCAATCAGTCATGGACTTGATGAGAGAAGTTGAACTTGATGAGGAGGCTGCAGAACAAGCTAAAGAAGAAGCTGCTAGGGGAGGTTTGGATATTCTTGTTAAGGTGGAGGAATTCAAAAAGATGCTGGCACATGCAAAGGAAGCAAATGACATGGTTGGATAATTATTAATAACTGTATTTTATTGTAAACATACTAAGTGCAGTATATAGTTCTGTAAATATTTTTGCATTGAGTCATGTCAAAGCTCATCTATTGTTATTTCCCTTTTAGCATGCTGGTGAAGTGTATGGAGAAAAGTCCATTTTGGCTACTGAAGTAAGGGAGCTTCAAAATCGCTTGCTTATCTTATCAGAAGAAAGGGATCAATCTCTTGCAATTCTTGATGAGGTAGTTTCAGAAATAAAATTGATCCTCTGCTAGGTTGTGCCTTGTTGTCGCTTTAGTGTTTTTGGTGGAGTTCTCACTTCAATATGTTCCTTTCAGATTATTGTTTGCTTTGATCATTGTCTTTCTGGATAGTATGTGCCTTTGCAGTTGCAATTTGCTTTATATATCTTGGTTGAGTGATGCATTTAATGTAGTTTTTGGATAAATAATAGGTTCCAAAAAAGTTTTGTAAAATGCAACTTTATTTTGTATTTTCTGGAACCAAATCAGTTTCTGTTGCCTTATTGAATTACTTGTTCCTGAGAATGAGTCCTCAATTTTTGAATAATGTGTTATATGACTTGTGACTGATGACTTACTGCATTGAGCTTTCATTTATTTTAATTGTATAATGGAAAATGAAATGTTGTCTAGTCTACTCTGTATGATGTACAAGAACAATGAGGTATATTAATTTGAGATAGTGGAGGGAATTGAATCTGACAATGAACGCACTTTTTGCTTCAATAGATGTGTCGAACCCTTGAGGTGCGACAAGCTGCAGCAGAGGAGGCTAGGAAAAAGGCTGAACAAGAAAAGCTGGAAAAAGAAGAATCTGCTAGAAATGCTCTTGCTGAACAAGAAGCTCTTATGGAGATGGTGGTGAAAGAGTCAAAGATTCTGCAGCAGGAGGCAGAGGAGAACTCTAAGGTAGCAACCCTTTCTGTGCCTTTCAATACATTTTGTAGTCCATTGGTTTTGTTAGGTTCCAAATAATAATGAAAATAATATGGTGGGAGTACTGATTTTTAACTGACCTTGTTGCTTGACTGTGTTTTGCTACAGTTGAGGGAGTTCCTTATGAATTGTGGCCATATTGTTGACTTATTGCAGTAAGTTTCCTCACTTGTTCTTTTCTATTGATTTGCATCCTGGACATACTCCTCTTTTTCAATCTCATGTTTTAGGTTCTATAAAACAATTGATTTAAACAAATTATCAATGCTTTCCTGGTTATTCTGGTTGTTGCATCACTGATGTCTTTTTCAGTTATTGCCTGATTCCATCTTTGCAATCCTAGTGATGACCATGTATAGTAGTGTCAGGCTAAGCGATTGAATGATCATGTGGAATATTGGTAATTGATGGTCGGAATCGAGGATCATGCTGGCTAGATTTAAGTTGAAACCATATACTCAAGCACTTTGTTTGTTGTTTTGAATCTGTTGTCTGGATTTTGCTTGCTAGTTTGATTTTAGCAGTAGCTAGAGACAATAAATCCTGTTTTTTATCCTTTTGCAGAGGGGAAATTTCTGTTGTTTGTCAGGATGTGAGATTGTTGAAAGAGAAGTTTGATGAGCGTATTCCTTTGAGCAAATCTATATCCTCTAGCCAAACCAGTTGCATCTTAGCCTCTTCTGGCTCATTTGTGAAAAGCATGGCAAGTGAACTTATCCCCAATCAAGTGGAGTCTGTTAAGACCCCAGAGAAGATAAGCCCACCAACATCTGTTGATGGTGAATCACCAAAAGGCAGACCAGGAGAGGAATTTGATGCTGTTCGCAAAGAGCTAATGGAAGATGGATGGGACTTCTTTGAAGAAGATGCTGAATGCTGCAGTTAAGCTATGTAAATTGTGGATAGATACTACATATTGAGACTAATGGTTGGGATTTCAAATTTTGAGCATATAGGACCTTTTACTCTGGCATTACCTGGTACATAATTCACTATTTTCTATACCTTAATGTTAAACCTAACATTCCCTCCTGCTAGTTGTATGTTAGCAAACAACTACTTATATGTTTCTCTTCCTATGTACAGCATTAGTTTCAAATAAATTTAGTCTTGCTTCTTTTATCCCCTTTTAGTTTCTTTTTTGATACATCTGGTAATAATGAATTATATAAAAAGAAATAGTTCTTTTCATTTGACTTAAATCTTTTCTCTTAAATCCCTTTTCTCTTCCTAATATACTTTTCATTTGATTTAAAGTTTGAATTTGAAATTATTAACTTAACATTTTATGTTTTTAACCATTGAGTTATTTTGTAGGATATCCTTTTTAGTTCTTTTGGCATAAAATATAAAGTTTTACACACCAAGGGGTGTCCAAACACGCATGGACTTAAGACTCCTAGCTAAAAAGTCAGTTGAAACCTTCAATTTTTCAGAAGGAAGAGATTCCAAAATAAGAACTATACCTTGTTACATAACCAATCATCGTATATCAAATGAAGAATTGAATGATCTGGGTGAGACCCCAGACAATTATGCGGCAAAGGATACATGCAAGATCATGCTCAGAACCAGTACACTCCTTACAATATTGAACTAAAATGCTCTATTATTAGTCTTCTTCTTTAAGCTTGGTACATATCATATTACACAGCATTCCCCAAAATGTACAGATCCAACCTACATACAATTTTCCCAGTATGATTAGTTTTTCCTAACTACCAAACCTCAAACATCTATATTTTGCACCTTTCATTCTTCAGTTCAGTCAATAATCCGAAATCCAGACATGACTTGAGCTGATCAGAAAGGCTAGTCATGCCAACATAACAGCAACACAGTACACCTCCATATGATATAGAGCCGAGCCCTCTGCTCCCTAATTTGCCTAGAACAACACCTTTGCCATGACTTGAGCTTCATTCTCCTCATCGAAGATGCTGTTACCGCCACATCAACGGGAAGTAAAAGAAGAGAGGAAATTGTATTGAAGAATGGAAGGAAGTGAATGAAACTTGGCAAAGCCGAGGAAGTTGTATGAGGTTTAAATAGGACCGGGGGGGACTAGGGAGAGGAGTTTAAAGTTGAAGATATGAGGAGAAGGAAACATGTGGTGGGAGACAAATGCTGGTCCCTTGTTTGGTCAGTTGGCATTAGGACCCACTGTTCAAATAAGAAGACAAAGCAGACCTATTAGTTTGTCTCCTTGCCAAACCCATCCTGATAAGGACTTTTCATCACCTCCTCTCATAGAGGGTCATCCTGTGTCTCCAATTCATCCCCTTCTCTCACTTATTTATGTGCTTAATTCACAATCACATGGTTCAATTGCCTATTTTATTAAAAAAATTTCACAATCACATCGCAAATTTAATTGAAAAATGAAAATTTTCATTGATTTTTTGTCATTCCCAATTAAATCTGCTAATGAATCAAGATAGAAAATGGTAAATCCAAGCCTAACCCACTTTAATTTTTTTTTTTTCCTTTTAAAATATGGAGTTGAAATTTTGTATTATTAGCTACTTTTTTTGGAAGAGAAATGTGGGTATTGACTAAAACTGTTTAATTTGAAAAATCATCTATTAATTATTATATTTTTTTGTTTTAATCTAAACTTTTTTTTAGTTGTTTATTAACATTGAAAATTGTAGTAATTTCTTCTACTTAACACAATTTTATTAGATATATTGATAGAAATCCATGTTATCACTTACGTGATGCCACATAAGCTACCATGTAAGCAACACATGGCCTCAAAACAGAAGAAAAATCCTTGCCTCTTTGTTTCCCTAACCTTATTAACAACAAATAATTAAATTATAATCAAACCTAATTGAACCAAAACTCAAGTAAAACAACGAAAATGAAATTATTCAGGCTAGGTGTTGCTTACATTGCAACTTAATTATGTGGCATCATTTAAGTGATGACATGGACTTTCATTATCTTACTAATGAAATCATATAAAGTAAATGGAATTGATATAATTTGAAAAGTTAATAGATGTTTTTGAAAGAAAATAAAAATTCTATACTAAACTTTAAAAAAGTCAATACTTAGTAAATAATTCGATAAATTAAGTCGTAAAACCGACAAACATTTTAGAAATCCATTTTTTATCTTTCAATCTAAACTAGCAAATACATGCTAAATTGATAAAATCACAGCCAACCATCCAAGGGAAGCGGAAAGTGAAAAGAAGAACCACATCTTAGGATTGTGAATATTGCTGGGACTAGCAATCTTTTGCCAATTCAGACTTAAAAAGGGGGGAACTATACTCAAACAATTTATTTTGAAGAATAAAATATTTTGTTTTCTTAGGCCAAGATCTCAATCATTTTTTTTTATAATAATCTAGATCATTTTTAAGATAATCATCCCAATAATTGTTGGATTGAAAAATGATTGGTACACATTCAATTCAACATATCTTTTTATACACTTTTGGTTAAAACATTAAAAATATAATATAAATATAATTAATTCAATTGATTCTTATATCTTATGTGTATGATTGTATTTTTGAACTTGTATACCTTTAATTTCAAACTAAGAAATGATGATTTTTTAATAAATGTATTATGTAATGTGTTATATAGTATGTTAAACTGAGTGTGTACCAATCATTGTTCTTGTTGGATTACATTGTATATGGATCAACCATTAAACATTTTTATGTTTGAATATAATATTTTGGTTTTTCTTAGGCCAAAATCTCAATTATATTTAACATAACTATCCCAAGATTGTTTTTTAGTAGTGATTAAATTAATGATTTAATGCCAGAAATGAGATAATGTTAAGTGTTCTGAACATTATACAAAAAATCATATACGTATTATTACACTATACGTGTTTTGACAAATTTAGTAGTTATAGATGATAATAATGAAAATATTGAGATACCAAATTCTTTTATTATGAAATGGATGGATACCAAACCGACAAGAAGTAAATGTTTGTAGCAAATTCTTCGTTTTGATCAATCAATACCCCTTTTCAAGAGAGGGGGTACTTTTCCTCTTTATTAGTTCCTCCTCTAAATTTTTTCCCAACAAATTTCTCTTCTTCAAATCTAATAACTATATTTAATTCATTGGAAATATTCTCAAGTCAATGTGTTTACAAAGGTAAATTTTTAATTTTTAAGTTTTAGATGTCATGCAAGATATTCACAAATATCATGCTGTTAATTGTTGAAATTTCAGGACTTGGAGAACGGTGGAATTTCAGACAGACTTGATGATGCTGTTGATGTCTTGCGCACATATTTTGGGGTTGCTGGTATCTCATATAGCTTAATTCTGCCTCAAACATTAGCATTTTCTTGTGATCAATTAATCCAATCCATCTGATATTTTTCGTTTCCATAAAAAGTTTACCCACTAATTTCACACTCAGCTTTTTCTAACAAAGGTTTTATTTTTGTCCAATGAAGCACTTCCAGATTGTATAATTATGATTTTTATTTTCAGAGTATAGTTATTCATTCATATTTTGTTGTTAATACAGGGCTTTCACATCCTGAGTATTTAGGATTGAAGGCCATTGACCCAACTTATGCATTGCTAGTTGATACTGTACATAGAATTTTCTATGCTTGATTATTTGATGTTAATATTGACATTTTTCTATGTGACACTTAGTAATTGGAAATTTTATAATATTGTCCTAATTATTTATTTTGGGTGTGTTGGAACCAGAAAAAAAGAAGAATAATTTGAAGAAAGGTTTATTGTTTTCTTGAATAATACTGTATGTACAATGACCTATATATATGTGTTTGCAAAGAGAATATTTCAAGGTATAAAGTATACAAAGAGAATATTTCAAGGTATAAAGTATACAAAAAGAATATTTTAAAGTATAAAATATTTATAATAATTTTGAATAAAATTGTATTCACATCTTAACATCGCCCCTCAAACTCAAGGTAATTGTGATGAAACCAACTTGAGTTTGGAAAGAAAAGTACGAAAATGCCTAGGAAAATGAGCCTTGGTAAAGAGGTTTGTTGGTTGATCCATGGAGCCAATGAAAACCAAATGAACAATTCCTTATGCAACATTATGGCAAACAAAGTGACAATCAACCTCAATGTGTTTAGTGTGTTCATGGAAGACGTCATTATAAGTAATCTGTATAGCACTTTGATTATTATAATATAAATCAGTAGAAGAAGGTCGAGGAATGCCCTTATCTTCAAAAAGCCACCATAATGAAAGAAGTTCCGATGTGGTATCACCGAGAGCTCTATACTCAGCTTTAGTACTAGAGTGAGATGGAACAATTTGTTTCTTACTCCACCAAGATATAAGAGAATTACCAAGGAAAAAGCAATAACCAATGGTAGATCTACGAAAAGAACAATCACCAACCCAATCAACATCAAAGTAAGCACGAAGCACAGGGGGGGAGTTGGCAGAAAAATGGAGTCTGTGAAATAATGTTTCCTTAACATAGCGAATAATGCGAAGTATTGATGCATAATGAGTGGAGTGAGGAGCAACCATAAATTGACTAACAATGTGAACTGCATATGCTATATCAAGGCATGTTGTGATAAGATAAACCAGACTACTAACCAATTGCTTATAATGAGTAGGATTAGCAAGTGGAGAGCCATCTATAGGTGTAAGCTTGACATTTGGTTCAAGAGGTGTAGAAACACTCTTACCATCATTGAGTTCAACTTTAGAAACAAGATCAGAGGCATACTTTACTCGAAAAAGTAGGTAGCCATCATCTGAAAAGGTGACTTCAAGTCCCAGAAAATAGCTCAGAACACCAAGATCTTTCATCTCAAATTTTTTACTAAGAGATTGTTTTAGCTCCTTAACACCTACAACATCATCTCCAGTAATAATCATATCGTCAACATAAAGAAGCAAAAGAACCATACCCCACCCATTTACAACCTATTAGAGACTTTTCAATAAGGAGATCAACTAAATCCCATGTACGAGTGTTCTCAAGAGCCTGTAATTCATCTTACATAGCTTGTTGCCAAAGAGGGTTAGAAAAGGCCTTTTGATAAGATTGAGGCTCATGTAAAGAAGTAATAGTAGGAAAACAATGATAATCACAAAAGTAGCTAGAAGGGTTTCTTTCCCGATTAGGATGACTCGAGGATGGGACAACAAGCTCATTTGTAGACTCAACAATATCAGATGCAACATCAACAGGTGATACAAACGAGGAAGTAAAAGAAGGCTCAAAATTATCTAATGCATTACTAACAGGCAGATCATCTTTTACAGAACTAGTTGGAGCATGTGGTAAGGCATTGTAGAGCTCATCAGATGTACCTGCTTCAAAATCACTAGGAAATAACTCAATAGAAGGATTAGTAAAAAATGGAGGTTGATGAAAGGATGACACTTTGAAGTTTGACAACAATGAGAACATAGTGTGTTCCCAAAAGACAACATGACGTGAAACTCAGAGTTTTTGTAACATAGGATCCCAACAACGATATCCTTTTTGTGTAATCCCATAACCCAAAAAACAACACAATTGAGCTCTATGCTCTAACTTGTTATGTTCATGAGGTGGAAGAAGAACAAAACATGCACAACCAAAAACCTTAAGAAGATTATAGGCAGGAAGAATACCATGTAAACGCTTGTATGGAGATTGGTTATTAAGCACTAATGATGGAATGTGATTAATAAGATAAACAGCTATAGGAGCAGCTTCACCCCAAAATTGCTCTAGACAAGAAGATGAAATGAGCAGATCACAAACAGAATCAAGGATGTGTCTATGTTTGCATTCGGCGCACCCATTTTGTTCAAAAGTATAAGGACAAGATTGTTGTGTCAGTGTACCTTATTCTTTCAAAAAGGATTAAAGTTTAGTACCAAGATATTAAGTAGCATTGTCAGTTCTCAAAACTTTGATAATTTTAGAGAACTGAATTTTGACCATGGTAGCAAAATCAATATAAATTTACGATAATTCAGAGTAGTTTTTCATAAGGTATATCCAAGTAAAACGAGTATGATCATCAATAAATAACACAAAGT